GAGCCTTCGCAAGGTTGCCCCCGTTTTGGGTCCGGTGGAGAGAATGGTGCGCGTTTGTGTGTGTCTTTGAGAGGTGATCGTGGAGCGGGCGGCACCCCGCTACGGAATATAAGCTTTCGTTGTTTTGCGGGGGTGCTGGGTGCCAGCAGCGGTCTCTGCGGCCCTGGCCCGGGGCGGAGGGGCGGCCGGCCGCCGGCCGCCGGAGGCGTAGCAGAAGTTACTGAAGTAATCTGTCACTGCGTGGAGGTGTCCCTCAGCCTGCAAAGGGACTCGCCCTCTAGCGGTTATTTTTCATTGTTTGCAGGGCGTCTGAGACTCGTTTCTTGGAGTGGAGTTTTGTACTGTTGTGTCTTGTTTGTATGTTCGATCGGGAAACCGGAACATGTTTTCCACATTCAAATAAGCTTCATTTTCATAGCAAAATCTTTCTCCCCTTAAGCCTCCTTAAAACTAGTCTTGATTATTAGGATAAAATTTCACTGTATTTGGAGATGTGTGGGACTAAGATTTTGTTGGGAATAACAATGTCATACTAATTACAAGAATTTGACTGTTGTGTCCATAGTTTTGGCGATAATGTTGGTTATCTGTACAGCATTAAACTTAATTGTTTTACTTAAATCCTTTTACTAATGGTGGATATGTTTTCAGCCATTTTTGTTTCCTTTTTTTAACTTAGTTGACACAATGACAGACTTTGAAAAGACCCTCCGTCGGGACATGATTTCTCAGCTGCATAATTTTGCTGCTGTTGGAGATGCAGCCAAACTGAAAGCATTGCTCAGTCGTTCTCCGTCACTTATCAATGCAGCTGCAGATAACGGCTGGACAGCCCTGATGTATGGTGCCAGAAATGGACACCTTGATGTTGTGCAGATTCTTCTTGAAGAAGGGTAAGCCGTTTAGTAGACTCCATTAAAGAGCTCTAGCCTGAATCCCTTTCTGCCCATTTCAACTTGATCTCAGAAAAATAAATTTACCTGATAGATAGTGGAAGAAATTTCAGAGTTAAAACTCAGGAAAATATACTCTGTGTCTTGCAAATATTTGTTGTCTATCTTCAAGTCAACCGTTGTGCTTCTAGTTTTTCAGGACACTCAGAAAAGCAAAGAATGCTTCAAAGTTCTCCTTGAGACCCCAAAGAAGAATTTTTTGAAGCCTGAATAAAGTCAGGATCCAAATATTTCAAATGGAAAACGTTTCAAAATGAAGGGTGAGAGTCAGGTGTTGCAGTTCAACTGAGCTTTACCTTAATCAAGCCCAGTCTGTTCCTTTCTGCACCCCTAATTACAGAACCAAGAAAGTTTAGTTCATTCTGTGGTTATGAGTAATCTCAAGCACAACATTCCACAGCCTCGAGTGATCATCCCGCCCTTTATTTTTTTTTCAGTCCTACCCAGATGCTGTGCCCTCTGCTGGGACTCAGCATGGAGCGTCAGGCGAACCGCTGTTTTGTGCTGTAGTCAATGCATTCCAGCAAGTAGAGGAGTATCTCAGTGCCAGATTTGGTGGATTGAAATCATCTGTTTATTGAGGAATCTTTTGAGATTTTGGGGAATTTACCAGTTTGGTAAATAGGATAACAGTTTTTAAGTTATGCTTACTGTAAAAAAAGAGTGCATATCCACTTGTAAATGTCCTTTTCAGGGCTGTTCTCTTAGGCAACTGAATATAGCTCCTGAGGTGATACTGTGGCCTCATTGGTCTCATTTTAGTTAAGCTTGATCATAATAATCATTTGGACAAATACAGTTGCTGGATATATAAACATGAATGTCTGTGAAGGTAGTATTACATAACATTCCAGATTTTGCCTAAAGGAGACATAATCTTTAAAGATAAATGGGCAACAATAGTTTCTTTTGCACCAAAAACTTATAAATTTAAGTTTTGAATGCTTTTCTAAAATATACTCAAACTCCCTCAAAAACTATTGAGGTTAATACAAGTCAAAACAGACTTACCTGTGATACAGTTACCTGTGTATCAGCAACATGAATATACTGGCATCTTCTGGTTTTAAAAACTGATGAGTCTGGCCCCACATCTACTCTATAATTTGTAGTTTATAGTGAAATTTCTGTTTCACTTATCCACTTGAGTTAAAATTGACAAAAAATAAAGGTGAATTATTTTTGACCTCCCAATCAACTTCAATCTATTTCAGATTTTTTTTTGCTAATATCTAAATATATATCATGAGGCAATGTTTCCTCATCTGTGTCATTTTGCAGACATTTTGGTAACAAAGAGCTCCTTACAGGGACCAGTACCACAGTTGTAAGGGTGCTACTTCTTTCACTAAGCAGGGGCTGTATTCTTCATGCTTATTTAATGGTAAATATTTTCTTGTAAATGTTTTGATGCTGCTTTCAGTAGCTTCTAGAAAGTAATGCTAGTTAAACTGCTTTTTCTTTTTATTACTGGTTATTCAGAAGAGACCTGTAGCCTGGCTTTCAAAGGTCTGTCTGTAAATGACCTTGAGCCCTTCTTTTTTTTTTTTTTTATGATGCATTGTGTGGGATTTTAATTAATTCATTGCTGTTGTAGTACTGCATGAACCTTGGTAAGTGATATCTGGAGTGATCAACAAAAATGTGGGATCTGGCCTTAGCAAAAGAAAATGAAGTATGATTACTTTTCATTACCATAATTCTAAGTATTTAGCCTAAAGAGTGCCCCAGTATAGACAAAGTGTCTAAAGTTCTTGCACCTTAATAGTATTAAACGTGTATGCTGTAAGTAAGAATAATACATCATCAGGACTCTTCCTAAACATATTTACCCTGGTAAACACTGTTCTTTTCTGTTTCTCTAGGTGTGACAGGTCCATCATTAATAAATCAAGGCAGACAGCTCTGGACATTGCTAAGTTTTGGGGGTACAATCACATAGCTAATTTGTTGGCTAATGTGAAAGGTGGGCAGAGGCCTAATTTTCTGTCAAATGAAGTGAAAGAATATGAAAATTATTTTGGCTTGACACTTCTGGACAGAAGGAGTGATAAAAGAACAGATTCCAAGTGGCTAAGCAAAAAACAAAGCCATCCAACTACAGTATACATCCTCTTCTCAAATCTAAGTCCTTTGGTTACTTTGGGTGGGGGAATAGAGAGCTCCCAGCAGCCAGAAGTAAAGCTTTGCAGGCTGTACCACAAGGATGTGGAGCAGTGCATGAAGCAAACTGAAGAAGGCACCTTGATTTTTCTTGGAGTTGAACTTCAGTTCCACATGAAGCTGCTGGCTGCTTGCAATGGAAGAGCTCTGCAAGAAGATGAAGAGGATGGGTTAGTTGCTTGGTTTGCTCTTAGTGTAGATTCTGCTTCTGCTGAGAAACTTAAACAGGAGCATGAGGACTGTTACTTTCTTCACCCACCAATGCCAGCACTACTGCAGCTACCTGAAAAAGAAGCTGGTAAGGTGCATAAAATGCAGCAGTTATCAAATGTGTAGTCAGAAAGATATGCGTTGGGATTCACGAGGTATAATGCAAAGACAAACCACTGTAAAGGAATCGGGTATTTTCAGTGGCTTTAGAAATATTTTAATTTTAAAAGCCTGTCAGTGGTTTTGTGAAGAATTTTGTATGTAAGCACATGTGTGGTTGCGAAGTGCTAACATCTGCAATGGCAAGTATTAGACTGTAAAATCTATTGATCATCATGGTTTTATAAATGGTACTATTTAAATATTAATGCATGCACATTGATTTCCTGAAATGAAGAAAAAAATCTGTCATTACTAAGTTTTCATTACAGGAAATGAAACTAAGTCCTTAATAAGAGTGTGTTGGATACTCATCTGAGAAGGAAACTGTGAGCAAGTGTCGGAAAATCAGGATCTCAAAGTGAATGAATGTTATTATGGACATGTGGTTAACAGCTGCTGTTGTAACAGTTTTGCTTTTACAGAAGGATAAAGGGCAAGCTTGACTTGCACCTGAAGTTTAAATGGAACAATGCATTATTATGTCAATACCTGTAGTAGTCCTAAAATGGTCATCTGGAAAAGGTGTGATACATAATTCTGGCACTTTGCCCAGGCAAGTAACTTTTCTGAGAAACAGGCTATATTGATCCGGATGAATTTGTTTCTGAACGCATAAATTGGTCTGTAGCTACATAGTACTGCGTTCTGTTGCATGTGCTGTGCTACAAAGAAAAAGATCTGAGTAACTCACATTGCTCAACTTCTGTAGTTGATTACAATTCAAGCCATAGTCTTACTTTGATTTTTACGTTAAACTTTACTACTTGCTTTTTCTATACTATTAAAAGCTTACATGAATTAGTATTTTGATTTTGTATATTTTCCATGTATTCTTTTAAAGGAGTAGTAGCCCAGGCTAGATCTGTTCTAGCATGGCACAACCGCTACCGATTCTGCCCAACATGTGGGAGTGCAACCAAGATTGAAGAAGGGGGTTACAAGAAAACTTGCTTAAAAGAAGATTGTCCCAGCCTCCAAGGTGTTCACAACACATCATATCCAAGAGTTGGTGAGAATATTGTAGGATAAACTTGGTCAAAAACGGCTTGTTTGTACTATTATATACATGTAAATCAATTTCTTCTCAGTTATTTCAGCTGCGGTCAAAAACGGCTTGTTCGTACTATTATATACATGTAAATCAATTTCTTCTCAGTTATTTCAGCTACTTGCTTCTGTCCCAGGTCTTACATACTTGTCTCTCCCCAGAGTATGTGTGTCTCAGCTGTATTTAGAATTATGTAGTTCAGGCTTCTCTTTCTTGCAGTAGTCCGTGACAAAGAATTGCTGTGACAATACCAATCTTTATTGCAATGGAGTAATATTAATTAGAAGTCCCAACTGCATAAATGAGGTATTAACAATACAAAGTGTCACATTTTACTTTTTTTTTTTCCCCCTGCATGTTGTTTTCTCACCTTCCGCAAGCCCTCTGAGCTTCAAATAGCTCTGTATCAACTTTGGCCCTGTATCAAATTTCTGAAACAGTGCTCATTTTCCTGTATTGCCACTTTGACTGTATTAGCCATCTTCACTGGCTTTCCCTATTCATTGTCAGTTGCAAACTGACAGTATACTGCTTATATCAGAATATAAGCTCATATAGACAGTCTTCTATAAGCTCCTTTTGTTCATGTGTTGCAAAGGAAGTGTACTATGTTACTGATGGGGAAACAAGGAAGGAAAAAAAAAACTTACGCTTTTTTCCCTGGATCGTTTGGTGCCTGTTTGATCACCTTTCCTTTCCCTACCCAGCTCTCTTTTCTGCAGTTGTAGTTCTGGATGTTGTACGTGTATTGTATTTCTGAATTTCATGTGCTCCTACATGCTCTAGATACATCTTTGTAGTAATCAAAACAATTCTGCCATATTCTTCTGTCTTATGGACTATAGTGAAGCTTGCTAAAATACTAGTGGCTGTTTCTTTACGCTTTTTTTCGTTTGGTGCCTGTTTGATCACCTTTCCTTTCCCTACCCAGCTCTCTTTTCTGCAGTTGTAGTTCTGGATGTTGTACGTGTATTGTATTTCTGAATTTCATGTGCTCCTACATGCTCTAGATACATCTTTGTAGTAATCAAAACAATTCTGCCATATTCTTCTGTCTTATGGACTATAGTGAAGCTTGCTAAAATACTATCGTTTGGTGCCTGTTTGATCACCTTTCCTTTCCCTACCCAGCTCTCTTTTCTGCAGTTGTAGTTCTGGATGTTGTACGTGTATTGTATTTCTGAATTTCATGTGCTCCTACATGCTCTAGATACATCTTTGTAGTAATCAAAACAATTCTGCCATATTCTTCTGTCTTATGGACTATAGTGAAGCTTGCTAAAATACTAGTGGCTGTTTCTTTACAGTCTCTAGCACAACAAACTTAGAGGAGGAATGGGTTTATATAGGAAAGACTGATGAACCAGCATTTTCTACTGATACCTTTCTCTGAAGAAAGTTTACAGACAACAACACTGCATATTCTACACTGTGGCATGTGGCAGATATCTTTGAGCAGGACAACAATCTTTGAGATTATTGTTTATAGTTGTTGCTGAATCAAGCCTTTTCAGATAGAGAAAATACTGGTGTTTTGACAAAAAAAACCATGAAAAACTACAGCAATAGAAAAAATATATAAAGGCAGAGGTAGATAGAAAAAAATAAAAACAAAACATTGAGATACTTAAGAGCTAGATAACAATAAAAAAGGGAAAAAGATCATAGATGAACAGTGTGCAGAAAGGCATGACAGAAAGAATGGTACCAACAGGAGAAAATATTAAGCAAGAAAGAAAAAGATCCATAAAATGACGAGAAGTGAAAAAGTAGTTAAAAGTGCAACATCAGATGAGAGATTGATAGCAAACAGTCAACAAAGTCAAAAGTGGAAAGTTAGTCAGTATTTACATTGTAACTAAAGTATCTGGCTCTTTGTTGGTATTTCAGTCAAAAGTACTATCTTCAGACCTGTGTGTGTAGAGGAGGTGATAGTAAATTGTTTTTGCTGCAGAAATTATTGCTATCCGCTGGATGCATAGCTAGGTTAGTATTGCTGATACTCTTAACAGATTGTGTGCTTTGGTTGCAGGTAATTTATGTCCTGCATTTCAAGCCTTGGCTAGTAAACTGCTTCTACCAAGCACGTATGTTGCAAAACAAAATAAGCAGATATCTAGCGGGGAAAAAAAAACCAAAGTGAAATAAAATAGCAACTTGGTCTGGGCATCTACACAATTCTGATTTCAATCACTTAGAGGTGTCTTTACATGCATTGGTATCGAATAGGCTGAAATTTGTTACTGCTTTTAAGTCCCTCAAATGTTGAGATGTATTCCTTTCACGTCCATTACAGATCCCGTTGTGATAATGCAAGTCATCCATCCAGATGGAAACCACTGCCTTTTAGGTAGACAGAAGAGGTTTCCCCCAGGAATGTTTACTTGTCTTGCTGGATTTGTAGAACCTGGTGAGTAATTTCATTTTCCCTTCCCAAATGTTTTTTCTCACATACCAGTATTGTACATTGAAAATAATATAGAAATATGTTCGGTGTTATGTCAAATAAATGTTTTTGCTTCCTGTCAGATAAGTTGTTATAATAAATTTTCCTGTTCCATGCTTTCCAACAGCTGATTTATAAAAAAGGCAAAAAGCAACGTGAGTAAATATAATTTAAAAATCGTTTTCTCATCATGCACTCTTAAATCACATATTTAAGTGAAAAAACATTTTAAAACACGTATAAGGTCCTTTCTTTGGTGGTACTTAGCAAGGGATTTTAGCATAGGAAAAATAAGAGTTAAAGCATAACTTAAAGTTAACATAAAGTTAAGCATATGCTTACATGTTTAGGGCCTGGTTGATTATATGGAAGATAAGCAGAAATTATATAATTTCGAAAGAAAAGTGAAGAGATTTTCCTAGCTGTGTTCAGCAGTAATAGTTGTAATTGGTTACAATTATTAGTAGCTGCAGAACAATTTGTAAAACATTCTTATACTGGGAATACATCTTAATCACCAGTGAAATTATAGTGTATAACTATTATCAGTGACTGCGTGCAGGTGAAATACGGTGACAGCCTGAATAAGTTTATTTAGGTATCATTTCAAAAAAGTCAAGATGTTTATTTCTTCACTCCTTCCTTTCTTCTGCCAGCCTTACTACTTTGATACTGAATGCAAGTATATAAACTGAAATTTAAGAGTAGCTGATCTTATCATCAGCTTCTAATCAGCTGAACGCAGCTGAACGAAAACTTCTATCTGATGCACGGACTGTCTGCTTTAATGAAGCTGTAATCAGTGGTTACAACACAGTACATGTAGGCATATGTAAGCCTATGACCATCAACACTCCACATATACATCTAGCAGTTTTCCATGAATATGGAAGTAAAGCTTTCCATTGCAGTCTAAGTTTGGAGAATTTTCTGTATGCGTTAAGACAATGAAGAATAAGTCAGGCAAAGTGAATAATACAATGCAGAAATGTGTGCAAGTCTTCTTAAGTCTCTATTTTCTTACTATTGTCATTTTAAATATTGATTTTCAAGTTGTATTACATACTGTTACAATCATACTGAAAATCTAAAAATTAACACAATGCTATTTACAAATGAACAGATCAGCATTTCAAAAGTAATTAAAGAAACAATATATTTCCTACCCAATTTTTGACATTTTAGGTGTGGTAATAATAGTTTGCATGTATGATAAATTATCAATTCAGGAAATAAACATTATGATGAAGAAATTATCATACTTTATTTTCAAAGTTCCATTTTGCTTTGGTGCTAGTTTTACCTTATTAGACTTCTGTATTTTGTACGTAAGGTCTGTGCCCTGATCTGTGAACTAGATCTTTATGGATAATTGTCTGGGGCAGTTTCAAATCTTTTGAGTCAGTTCAAAGCACAGGATGTAACCGTTGCTTGGAGTATTTTCATCAGCTGCTTGTTCTTTGCCCTTTTTGATTAGGTGAAACAATAGAAGATGCTGTTCGAAGAGAAGTAGAAGAGGAGGCTGGAGTCAAAGTTGGCCATGTTCAGTATGTCTCTTGTCAGCCATGGCCGATGCCCTCCTCCCTAATGATTGGCTGCTTAGCTGTTGCAGTGTCTACAGAAATTAAAGTTGACAAGAATGAAATAGAGGATGCCCGCTGGTTCACTAGAGAACAGGTAAAGTTCAATTTAATTTCCTTCTTGTATTGATTAGTCTGTGACTGTTTCGGTTCTGGCATACAATAGGTACTTGCTTTTTTCAGCAAGTTGAATGAGTGTGTATACTCTCCATTTTATCATACTACAATTGCATTATATTGTAATTGTAGATAACACACAACCAGAGAAAGGCAGATATTCACAGTAATTTCTGAGTCACTTGCAAGCCCATTTTATGACATTTTTGCCAGTTAGCTCTTCACCTTTTCCTTTTGGGAGATAGCCAAGTTATTGTTATTTTAACCCACTTTCTTATCAAGCCTGTGCTTTTCATTTTGGCAGAAGTAGTATTTAATAGCATTCATCATCTGAGTTTCTCCAATCAAGCATGCTACCAGATTTGCTGGGAGGGGGGAGGTTTAGGTAAAAACTCTGGGAATTCGTTAAGTTGAACATCTTTTTCTATGCAGTACTATTTTAATACTCTGGTATTGAATGCAGTTTACTATGCATTAATAGGAAATTCTACACTTAGCCTTCCTGAGTATTTAAAATATAGTCAAATAAAAGAAAGGGAAAAAAAGACTTTCACAGAAAGAGAGATTTAAGTTCATGAGTAGAAAAAGGAAAGATTGTTTACACAACGTAGTCTTCACAGGTTTTTCCACAGGCTATTTACGAGCTAAACTTTTAATAACACTCTAGTTCTGCATAGCAGTTTGCAAGTCAACTCTAGGTCAATTTGAAGGCAAAGTTAGTCACCTATAATCTCAGTATATTCCTGACAACACTGAGAGCATTATTTTAAATGAGTATCAGTTCTAAATAGAGCTAGTCACATGCAGATTGGTCTAGAGTTAGAAATAAAGGTACTTCAGAAACGTACTAAGCTAAAAGCACACACCCATGTTGCTTGAAACTGCTTCAGAAAACCAACAAAACACTTTTACTTTTGCACTACATGTGGGAAAAAAAAAAAGAATTTATGGAACAATGTAGAGCACCATCTGGTGGTCCTTACCATAAAAAGGCTTCACAAAAACCTTAAATATTATATTAACAGTCAATCTCCACAGTTCTATTAGAAAGAAAGTATACTTTGGGGCACATTTGAGCTCAAAAATCTCAGAATTCACACAGAATCCTGTGTGTTTTTTTTCTCTGCAGCTGTCTTGGAGAACCTGGTAGTGGCTGATTACTAGCTATAGTAATGATAGACTGATGGATCATCATAGTAAGATAATTCCTGCATTAATACAATGTTAGATTCCATACAGTTTATAATATTCTAAAGAAAAAAATCTGTCTTTATTGCAGGTCGTGGAAGTTCTCATTAAAGGAAATAAGCGTTCTTTCTTTGTACCACCAAGTCAAGCTATTGCACACCAGCTGATAAAACATTGGATTGGAATGAATGCTAATCTTTAATTCAAATAATTGATTTCTTTAAGTTAAATTACTTCTTCTAGTGAATACTAAATTAGGAATACATTAGAAAGAATTGTTTATCTAGTAAATGTGCAACCACGTGAATTTTTGAGCCTTTCCTTTAGTTCCTAAGCTAAACTATGCAAACCTTTGTAGGTTTTTTCAGATCTGAGTTAGAGCTGAACAACAACCCAGTGATTATCCCAAACAAGCAAGCAACAAGTAGGTAAAATTGGTACCTAGCTGTGCACAGTCTGCTTTTTTGTTTTAGAATCAAATTATTGTGACTTTTACTATTATGTTTGATTTGGTCTTTCCTGCCCCCCACTGGAAGGAGTCAGCATTACAAAGAGGGCTGACCTTGCCTGCTGTTTGAACTCTGTATGTACATCCTCCTATTTTGTCTTAATTGTTTCATTCTCATTTTTTCCTATCTCCATTCTTTAAATTCTGCCTGGCACAAAAGTCAACATTCACTGCTGAAAGTCTTATCAACAATGGTTATTTTTAAGCTAATAGCATACTCAAATGGTGAATATGTAGTACTTTGTACCTTTTACATTAATAGCCCTCTAAGCAGAGTATTTACTCCTCCAGTCTGATTTAGCCTGCACTTACCCAGTGGTATGTCAGCCTGAATTTAAAGGTATAACACAATACTCCATTTATGAAAAAGGTATTGGAGAACCATCCCAAAAAGCCTAACTATTAGATATTTTTGTGAGATAATAATGTACATATTGACCCTAGGCAGTGAGTTATTTCATTCTCTGATAATTAGAAATGTAACTGCAGAGTAATGGGGGAGAAAAATAGATTATTTAAACAAGACATCTCAAAATATGTACAAAGTTCTTTTATGGAAATGGAGACACTAAGATTGTTACTGCTGTTAAGGATTTTACAGTTGAAAGAAATATATTAACTCCAGCTGTAAAACTGGGAAAGCACTATATGAATTAAAATATTTACTTATGTATATTTAATGCTACAGTTCAGATTTGTGCCTTAATTTATTGTGTTATTGAAAAGAATGTTAACTTAATATTCTTTCAAAATGGAAGGTTATAAAAGTATACTGGTTTTATTATTGATGTCATTATGTAATGGTTCAGTAGTCTGTGATTCTGCAGTCATTGCAGTGATATGAAAAGAAATGCAAATGACCAGAAGGAAATACAATGATAGTCATAAGTATTAACTTACTATCATATTTGTTTATTCAGAGTAATTTGAATATTTTTTTAATCAATGAATGATGCCAGATTTGTTTCAAAATTCTCTGCAAACTGGAATCAATAAAAATGTTTTACAACTCCTAATAGTTATTTTTTTTCCATCCAGTGTCATACTATTCTCAGCAGCTTTTTTTTTTTTTTTAAGGCAGTGCATATCAAACTTTAAAGCAAGAAGCATTTCTGACAGACTTGGAACAGTGGACAAATCATTACATTGCTTCATTCTCTCCCTTGTTTCAGCTATACCTACAAATGAAGAAAATCAGGTTATCTGTTGAGCCATCTGGAAATGAGAAGGAAGCAATACACTGCTTCCCTTAAAAATTGCTTCTGCAGAGAAGCGAGAGGTATGAAAAGCTGTCATGGACTACAGCTACCAGCAGGATCACATGTTGTCAGTGGTATTAATCTTTAAAAAAATACTGTGGGACAGAAGGAAGCCTAGTTGCAGGTTGTTTATACAAGTAAAGGAGAACATCGGACAGTATGCGAACAGTGGTGGAAGCTAAGCAATGGAAGGAATTTTTAACTAGTCATATGATGATTACACATTAAGAAAGATGAATATGGAAGGAATGAGGAGCAGTTGGAAGAGAGAGGATAAAGCAAAGAACAAATATAGGTAGCATAAAGATAAATAATTTATCACATTAAGGTAACTAAAAATACATGTATAAGACCCCCCCAATACTAGTTTTTCATGTAGGAAATTATGGTGGGTTGCTATAGAGATGGGTTTGTAACTGTGAAACTCAGGAGAAAGTATCCATAACCAATACTGATATCAAGAATCAGACTATTTTTTTAATTGAAAATCTGTATAAACAATATATATCTGCAATTACAATGCTAATAAATAATTTGAAAAATTTCATTTTACTGCATGAAAAAAGCAGAAAAAGGATAGTTTCAAAAATAAAACACTTCAATAATCTCTGAGTTTGAGAGTAATATTTTAATGATCTTTCAGTTCTAGTAACTTCTGGTGTTGCAGCAAATTTTAATATAAATACATTTTCAAAAGCTAAACCCAACAGTCCTTTTTAAGCTTTCTTTTCTTTTTTCCCTCCCCAACAGATGAACCATTCACAGAGAAGATGATAAACACCCCTTGTTTAAGAAAACTAATTTCATAATTTTAATCTCTTATTTAAAGTGAAACTTTTCCTGGCTTTTTATTGCTTAATTTGACCTTTGTTTGTAGGTCACAGAATTGAGTTTTGGTTTGAAAATACCTATGCATAGAAATTTTCTGAAGGATAGTTATTGTTTGCAGATTACATATAAAATATCTCATTGAAGAGCCAAATGCTGTATTTATTTAGCAACTAAGGCAATTTAGAAAAATGCCAAATTAAATTTAGCAACAATTAAACAGTGTAGTGATTCTGACTGGAATATGGTCAGGGCAACACTTCCATAAGATTTGGGTCTTATCCAAAAGACTGCAGCTTTGCAAGCAGGTTATTTCTTGCCACTAAGTTAATGCAGTACATTAAGAAAATGGTATTCCTTAAACCACTAAAAATAGGGGGGTTGTTCACACTGTGTAATAATGATCTCTCACTCTCTTCTCCATTGCTTCTACAATGGTACCAGAACAAAAAGAGTACTCATTACACGTAGATGTGCAAGGCAGAAAATTCTGGAGATGCCTTTTCTCCCAATTTGCCTGTACACTAATGAGAATTAACTTCTATTCAGTATATAATTTGTAGATATTCTGTATTTTATCTGTTTTTTAAATTATAATAATTTACAAATAATAGAAATAGTAATTTAATAAAGTGGAAAAAAATAGATGAGGTGTTTAAATGCAAAACAAAACTCATACTACTAACCAAGCTCTAAGCTCGTGTGATGTAATGACATCTCATGTAAGTACAATACTGATTGCGAGATTTTTACAAACTTTGCATTGGTCCCTGTAAGCATACTTCTTTTATCTCATTTTTCATATTGGATATGTGTAAACACATGAAAAATAAAATAATTCCAGTGTTGATACTGTAGCATGAACATTATTTTTTGTGTTTTGTGTAGGAATATTGCCAGGTTGGTAAATGATTATCTGGAATTCTACAACATGTGAAGGAAAAAGGGGCGGATGTCAACGGGCTGATTAAAGGTAGACCAGTCATGATGCTTCATGGAATTAAATATACTAATCAGATTCTGAGCTTAGGAGACAGAAATAGAGAAAGAAGTGGAGCAAGACTGTGAACAATGTTGCTCCCTGTTTTATTTTTAATTTTAATTAGGTAATCTGATCGATTAAGACTTTTCAGACAAACCTGGCATTTTGTAAAGCCCTGGTAAGTTGAGTTGTTATTTTTCTTGTCTGCTTTAGCTGTTAAGAGTTAAATAACTAGTAGTCCTTTATTGCTTCAGTGATTGGAAGGCTATGTGTATACAGCATATCATTGCTGACTGGGGTTGACAGTACAGAATTGGATAAGTCCAAAGGAAAAAAAAATTTGAACTTGTTATCCTATTAAGCCTTAGCAAGACAGCCAGCCCATCCTTCATGAGCTTAGAAAGGCAAACTATTCACAGAGAGTCCATAAGAGCAAGCAAATATCTGAGGAAAATGAATATTGGCTCATAGTAAGTATAAACATCTTTTTTTTTTCCTTTTTTTTTTTTTTTCTGGAAATGACACCCTGACAGGTACTACTCTGTAGATACTAATTGTTGTAACTCAACATAGCTTTTACAAAATACGGGATTTCTGCAGGTTTGTTACACAGTAGATACAGTTTAAGGAATTTCAATTATAGTTCAGTAAAAAGTTTAGTTTTCTGAATAAATAAGAATGATAGTTTCCTAAATAGAAGGGATTTTTTGGATGGATTTTTGATAGTGAGTAAATAAGAATGTTTTCCTAAATGATAGGGATTTCTAAGATGGATTTTTGATTCCTAAGACTGTATCTGTCATCTTATTTTAGCATATAGGGACTTAAAGTGTAGTAGTACATAATTTTAGAAGTGAAAGCCTACCTGAATGAACTTCAGTTTGTTATTTGTATTGTCTTTCTGCAACTAATATTTCAGATGTGGAATGTGAGGAATGCTACGATAAGACTACAGGATTATTAATCAAGAATGAATATTACATATTGTTGAGTAAAGAAGTTTGCAGACTCAGTTTGCAGCACTTAAATAAGCCTGGGTAGTAGGTTTTTTTCTCCTACCATTTCATCATCTTGCATACTAAGATACCTTTGGTAAAGTACCTTCTTATTTCTCTTTAAGGAGAGAAACATTCTAACACTAGACCTCTCCCAGTTCAGTGAAGAAATGTAGACATTTTCTCAGCGCACCTGCTGAAACTAAAAAAGAGCCTGTGAAATATTAAACATCCCATCTTTTGTCATTCTAAACCCAAATTACTCTTAATTTATGCAGTATAAATTAATCTTCTGGAGCAAGTGACCCTCGAAACAGAAAATATGGTATCTAAGTTTCCCTACTTTAGATGCCAGAAATCAAATCCTAGAAGCTAGGATAGGGTTTTTTGCACTTATTGCATTCTATGAGAAAGGAAAGATTTTTCTCACTTAATTGTAGTTTATATTTTGTAGTCACAGACATTCTCAACATAAAAAGCTGCCTTATTTTCAAAGAAAATTGTTATCACATACAACTATTGCACAGGTTTCTTTTGGTGAGCTGAGTTTCAAGTGTAATTAAAGATTTTGGATTTACATTATTTCTATTATGATGGCTGAACAATTCTGAAGCTCAGAAAAGTTGGACAATTCAGCTTGACAAAGAATTGTAGTACTTCATTGACAGTTACATCTTTGACTATAGAAATTGTATTTCATTATTGGAAATGGCCAATTAGTGAGATTTCTACTAATTCCATGACCAATTGCCACATCACATCTGAAGGGTGTTTAACTTACCTGCTGTCATGTTTGATGCTGACAAAGCATGAATTATGTGCCGAAACAGAAACAAAAGTGACTAAAATGCAAGACAGCACACCAAATATCAGAATGACAAACTCACTGACAAGAAAAGGGCTAATCCTGCTAACATTCAAATTAGCAGTTTTTCCTTTGGTCTATAAAACAGGAATAGCAGAGGTCCAACAATGGAAACAATGGCAATTCATGGGATTTTTTTTTAATATATTTTCAGAACTTTTGCTGAAGACAAAATTATTTTATCCAGTATAGCAGAGATATAATGCACAATAAAGTATGTTCTCTATGCCAGTTTTTAAAAATATATTATCGCATACATGATAATAAGTACCTTAATATCCATTGCATTAAACTGATAGGACTGGGAAGATCTGATCAGTAAGCTGAAATATTCATGATATAGTACTTATGTTAAAATCATCACGTGATCTCTGTATGGACCATTTACAGCACAGAGGCTACCTACTGGTTCTCCGTTTTGTTGCAGTGGAAAGCAGTGCATATCTTTAAATGAGGGTAGAAACGAACAATGTTGATGCAGAAATGAAACATCTCCAAAATATGAAATACATGCTTATCCTTATTAATACATTATTTCTTCTTGTTGTGGCAAAAGCTCAAAATAATTAAACAGAAAGCAAGATTAGCTTAGTAAGTAGGCAGAAGCTTTATAAGAAAGTGAGTTTTATATATGGTTTTGCAGAATTTAAGAACTGAAAGCTGGACCTATGACTTGTCTTCTCTCTAAAGAGGCAGAAATGCTTGTGCATATACAGCCCATGATAGCTGAACTATTTTTTACTATGAATTTGCTGGCACTTACATTCTCATTTCTCAGTTAAAATAATATTGAAGACATTTGACTCGCTTCTGCTTTATTAGCCTTTTTAAAACTAAAGTGAAGAACACCCTGCCTGCAGGGAGGTATCTTTAACATAATGGCCAGAATGGTATACCCACTATTCCTTTAGAAAAGATTGGTCAAAACCTGCTTAACACTTTGTCTGGTCTCACTTGTTGCTTATAGAAGAGTCCAAAATAATGCAGAATGTAATTACATGGGGTTTGAATTTCCTGAATATGTTAATTTATGGCATAAGTGATGTTCTTAGTTGCTTAGACAGTAACCTTCCTTGAGAATCAGAACTGCAGAAATATTATTGACTGGTGTTTGCTATCATTTCATGATCTGAAAAAGTAAGATCCTGATTCTGTGTGCTCATTAAAAGTCCCACAGTACATTTCATGAAATAAAATCGTTGATCACTGGGTCCTAGTACAATACGTGTTGCAGATTAATCTCACTTGCCCATGCTTTTCTAAGTGTTTCATTTGGATGCGCTATTTTCATAGCTAATTGGATACTGCCAGATATCTACTGAGTTCCATTTGAATGGAAGCTGATTCTTTGCAGCCATATAATTCATGTTTTAATTAATTTTGTAAAATGCTTTAGGGTCCTGTTACAGCCCCTGTAAATGGCTGCCTGCTTCCTTTGTTCTAGACATTTTGCAAAGACATTTTTAAAGACCCGTCTTTTCTGGAAAAATATATAGACGAAACTATAAACAAATGAAAATAAGGTACATACCAGCTGATGCAGAGATTAAGAAACACTACTAAGACAGGCATTTTTGATAACACATGACTTTTCTTGCATGTGTTTGGCATAAAATACATTCTTTGGCAACAGTACTGCAGAAATGTGTGTTCAGAAATTATTCAAATAAGGTAATAACAGGAGCTTGATAAAAAGATTTGGAGCATCTTTGTAGAAAAAAGGAAAAAATGGAAGGTACTTGAATAAGACATATTTGAATGAGGTAAATAAGAGGTAAATCAATGATGAGCCCTTTTTGCCTACTCTCTGTGTGGAACTACTAGGCTCTCATACACAATTCATTCTAATGATATTGTCTCTGTTAAGAGTAAATGATCTGTGGGGCATCTGCCTCAAAGCTAATGCAGGTAATATGCCACAAAACACAATCAGTAAGGAGAGTAAAAGGAAGAATTCACAAGGAAAAATCAAGCTTTAAGAATAATTTCATAGGAGAGGAACTAAGCAGTGAGAGACTGGACCAAACATTGTTGGTAAGTTGAGGAGCAAAGTCAAAGCAAAGATTAGTATGGAATAGAAGAATTTGAGAAATACAGAAAGAGACACAATGGAAGTCAATGAGAACAAAATTTAGTGGAGTTAAGGTTATCTAGGGCAATGGAGTCAAAAAGTAGGATTCTGTGCCCAGAGGGAGGAAATTAATCAGAAGGGATTAATGTGGTTGAAGTACAGAAGGAAGGAGCAGTAGAAGGCTCTTGTTTCAGAAAGGCTTGGCTGGGTATTCTGTGACATCATTCTTCTACAGTTTGTGAATGGTATAGGATTCAGTGGGGAAGTATTCAGTGAGCTGCCACTGAATATATTTATAGCCATGCCTTCTACAACGTAAGATATTGAAATTATAAGAAAGAGACTTACCATCTAAAAGGGCAATTAATATTATCCTGAAAGGACATTAAATATTTTGCAAATGATTGTGTCACCACACCATTTCGATTCAACATTATCAAATATTTTCTCCATATTTTCCTTTCCTTTTTTTAGTTTGTCTTTTCTGCCAGTTTCTCATCATTACTGTATAGGTTCACTGAATATGCTTGTTAGAAAACTTAAGAACACATGTTTTCACATCAAGGCTCCATTATATAAATATATAAAAGTGAAGTAAAATAACTCCTGTATTTTCAATTTTACTTCCAACCAGCATTTTTTAAGGCAACTTTTCCTGCCTAACAAGATGATCTCAGGGTCATATGTTATAAAACTATTTTC